TCCGTCCTGGATTCCCTTTTCTTTATCCCAGAGAAGTATTCTGTTTTATATATGTACTACTTTTTACTTATCCATCCATCTGTTGATAAGCACTTAGATCAATTCTGCCTTTGTGGTATAATGAACATAGATATGCATATGTCTGTTCCTATTACTTCTGTTAGATCCTAGGAGTGAATTGCTGGTACACATGGCAGCACCCCTATTTTGAAGAATAGCCTGTTTTCCAGACTAGATTTTACATTCCTACCAACAATGGATGAAGCTTCCAATTTCTTCATATACCTTCCAATAAGAGTAGGATTTTATTTTCAGTCAATATTAAGTACATTGTTGTTATTTTGAAGGTCTCTTTTAGGTTATGGCTGGATATTTGGTAGTTCTGAGAGACTGTCATTTGAATTAGGGTCTGTTTCCTTTATGTTCTCACTTTTACCAATGTTCCAGGCTGATTTTATGGAATTATCTTCCTATCTGCACTCACTTTTGAAGCAAACTTGAATTTTAAAAGTAATTTGATGGTATACTCAAAGTAGAAGATAAGAACAGTGTGGTTGCAATCTGTTCGATTTAGATCCCCCTCTCTTTGAATCAGATGATGAGGCATACACAGTAAGAACTCTGAAAGCCGGGATCTATGTAAGGGGGAAAATTCACATAACTTCTAGTAATAGAGAGCGATAACAGAGTTGTAACACTGCACCATGTCAGAGGTGAAAAACCTGGGAGAGCCAGGAAAATAAGGAATCTCACATGGTGTTCCTGCTTTCAGAGATTTCACTGTATTTGTCAGGCTGCTAGGAGCCACTAAAGATGTAACAGTCACAGCAGTAATTCAGTTGTGAGCTAGAAACAGTTTTAACATTTACAGGTATTTTGATATCCAGTGATTAAGCACAGCCATTATTAAAAGTTAAAATACTTTTATAATTAACTAAATTGTATTAAAAATAAAACTAATTGATATCCAAGATTTTTTGTCATAATTTTACCATATTTATTGTTGTCTTAAGGTTATTTGCATCTAGTTTATCTATATGCAAGAAGTAATATATAACACCATTCTACTTCTCTTATCTTTTTCAACTCTTGTGTTCTGTCACATTGTGGCTTGAAATCAGTCACAATGGGAGTACATGGATTGGCAAAAGCCATGGACACTGGCAAATGCTATTAATCAGGATGTTTCCCTGCCCTGGGAAGCTTTTTATTAAACATTTATCAGTGTATAATAGCATTTTTGGCTTGTAACTGTACCTCAAGCAATTTGGAAACAAACTACCACATTGAAAGTTCTCTTTCTTTCTTGTAAGTTCATGGCCTGGAACACATGTTGTGTTCCAACCTCATGTTTACATTGTTTTTTTCTTCTGTTACTATATTTTAATCATCCTTTCCTCTATCCTCATGGGGCCAAAATCCTGGTCTTTTTCTCTTTACCATTCTTTTACTTAGTATAGTTAAATCTCATTTTGGTCCGTGTAATTCAGCTTGTCCTCGAAAGCCATGTAAGTAAGGATTTTTTAGAAATTGGGACAACTGCAGGGAAAATAAGATATGAAACAGGATGACATAGGTATAAGATCATATGACCAAAGTTCCAGTCACTACTAACTTACTAGAATTATTTGTGTCAGATGAGAATAGTAAGTATCATTATTTCATCAGAAAAGTATAAAGGTTCACTATCTAGACATTAGGGTTAGTTACATTCTTGTGTATAATATTTTCAACATTGCATTGTTTCATTTCTTTATGATAAAAATTTTGTAACCAGAAAGTAGAATCTGTTTGCCTTTCACAAATTTATGGAATTGAAACATTTATTAACATGTGGCAAAGCTTTTTGTCTGTAAAAAGACAGAAAAGGTGGCTGATTTCAACTCTTGTGTAGAAGGTGGCTTAATGATATCAGGCTTAATGATATGAGGCTAAAGTCTCTAAGATTCTCTACAGTAATAACTATTCCAGCACCAATCACGACACCTGTGTTCACAGCAGAAATAACATAATAGCGTTGTATTGAGTTGTGCATTGACTACATCTAGATACAAAGAGTCTGGGAAATGGAGTATTACTAATGTTATAGAATATTTGATATTTACTAATATCATTAAATATCAAACTGATATTAAAATGTTAAATTATTTCTGTTTTAATAATTTACTAATAGTAATAATTTGTAATATTGCACTTTAAAATAAAGGCATGCAAGAGAGAAAGTGTTGGGGATAATTGTTAGATAAGCTTACCTTAGTTGCAATAGCATTTTCTCCCTTAAACTTAAAGCACTGAGACCTACTTGAAAGGTGAAAACATAACTAATATGCTTGATATAGTTCCCCGAAGAATTTTGTTAAGCTTTTTGAGGAACTGATAGGAAACTGCTATTATTTGCTAAAACATTATAGTACTTAGAAACAAGGATAGGTACTTTTAAATAAATTCTTGAGAGTTTGGTAGTATTAGCCTCATTTTTACAAATTGAGAAACTATGACAGATGTTAAGCAATTTGTTTTCAATTACAGAGTTAATAAATGGGAGAACTAAGTTTATAACCTGGTCTTTTTTTCTACACCAAACTACATAAAAATTGAAAGTTTTATAGAAAGTATACTCTTTAGGAATGAGGAAACATAAGTCCACACATACACAAGGTAAGCTGTATCATATCCAATTGACTAAAGCATTCTAAGTTTTCTAGTCTTCTGCATACATTGAAATGATCATAGCTAATATTTTTGAGAAGCTGTTGAATGGATTTTGCTTATACTAATCCTAAATCTCTTAGGGATTGCTATTTAGGTTAGAAACTTAAAATTGAATCTGGCACTCTTACTCTTGAGCTACAGTGTTAGCCATTATACCACACACCTCTCTCTCTCTGTGTCTCTCCCTTTTAGTTTGTTCACTCACACACCTTCTCTTGACGGCTGTTTTGTGTAAGAGATACCAGAGAGTTTTCAAGTTGATTGTTTGCTGATTCCAGCTATTATGAACAAATTTCTACGTGTTTAGTTATATAGGAGGTTGAGTGGGAAATTTTATAAAATCTTACTAATAAAGTAAATTTATAAGTTTCACTTTGGAAGCCATTACATATAGGATTTAAGAATTCTAAATTCAGACATTTAAAACAAGACATAATTTGTTAATAAACTCTTTAGTTCATGATAACTTATTACATGTTCTTAATTTAAGAACCACTATTGAACGCTGATCCAAAAATTGAAATGAGTGTAACAAATGAGTATGTGAAAATAATCGCTAGCAGATGGAAATTATACAGCTCAGAACTTCACAGTGAATAACTCTCTTGGAAGACCATTTCATTTCCTCCAGAGTCTATCAACAAAGGGATATGCAAAGCGATGTAGTTTCCATGTTTCAGCTTTAACATCTGCTGCATGGCAGCCCAGTTCTGCCCCTATCTCAGGAAACATCTATAAATATTGGTAAAGATTTGCTTTACTTTTGTTTCCAGGCTATTTATCTCAGTATTCATTCTATTGGCTGTAGTCCCTGACCATATGAGGGTAAGTCAGAAAGTATCACTACCAGGGTTCTAGTTCATACATGAACGGGTTTATTAAAACCAGAGCCAAAAAAAGAAAGAAAACCATACTAAGACAGTTGATCAGTGGATGGCTGTAGAGAAGTTTTCTTGGAAATACACCACTTGTCGTAGTTTCATTAAGGCGCCTTTAGAAAAAAAAGACTGACTTCCATGAGGATCTGCTGAGACAATTCAAGGCTAAGTAATCATCTCAGAGATTTAAAGTGATTGCTTTGTGGGACTCCAGAGAAGAATCTTAATAGATTCTCTTGAAGGACACTAGATAATCATAGGGCCTTACTAGGAGGAAGCTCTTCAAAAACTGAAAACTGCAATGGGCAGGAAAGTTGTACATGCCAAGGAATTTGTCAGCGATTTTTTTTCCCCCATAGCAATTTACCTGCTCCTTCTTCAAGGATAGCTCCTTCTTCAAGGCTGATCTATGGGCATTTCAGTGAGAAACCTTACTCCAGCTATCATTCGGCCCTGATTTTTCTCTTTCTGACTTCTTTTTGTTGCCAAAATTCAAAGAACATTTCAAAGGAACATGATTTGTTCAGGTTGCCAAAACTGTTATTTTGACATGGTGTAAATTGAAGAACTCTTCAGGGAATGGTTAGAGAGAAGGTGGGAGAAGAGAGGACAGAGGGAGAGTCACTTAGAGACATTGAGAAACAATAACTCTAAAATTTGATTTTTAAAAAATAAATGTTTCTATGATTCTGTTCCAATACTTTTTGAGTTGCCCTTGTACAGTATTGCTGGGTGATCTGAAACCCAGGTTTTGTTAATACAACTTGGTAGGGTTACGCCTGTAGCTGCACATGCAGTTCTACAAAGTCAGTGTGCTGTTTTTGAGATTCAGAGTCTTTTGCCACTGCTGTTATTGGCTGTTTGCTCCTCTCTTACTTTGCCCTTCCCAGACATAATCAGTTGTTAAAACAATGACATGACTAGCTAGACATATATCTCTGTTTCACAAATTTATGAAGCCTGTGAAAATATAAATTGGTTCTAAACCCTGGTAAAATAAATAAATAAATTATAGGTTAATCTTGATTTTTAAAAATCATAGTGAAAATAATAAATACAATAAATTGTCAACACAACTATATTGATAAGAGATTTCATGACAGTAAACTTAGGGTTAATAAATTATGCAGATTGAGTACTTTAATTGGTGTAAAAAAGACTTGGGACTTAAAATATATTTAAAATCCCAGATATTTGGACAAATAAAACATAACTCTTCATACTCTTAGCAACAGATTGTTTTTATTATTTGTTTGTATAGTTGGCATGAGCTGTTATTTAGAGTCTTGGAATAATAAGAGTCACTTGGGAGGGACTGTGGAGTATATTACGGGAATTCAATTGGCAGTGTTCACATTATCAGTCTATTCTCTGCTTTAGAATCTTCTCTTTGCTGCTTTTCTTTCATAGGTGGGACTCTTCCCTGGACACTGTGTTGAGTTAATTAACCAAAAAGTTCCCCAGTCAGTGACCAACTCTGTGCCCAAACCAGGTAAGTGCATTTTTTTCATTAGTGTGGTTGTTTTATGAACTAATTAAAGATAACATATTCCATTCAAGAACATAGTTTTTTGTTGTTGCTATTGTTGGCATTTATTGACACATTTATTCATTCTTGATTTTATCTGGCTTTGTTTATTGATATGTCCTTATTTCACTGTTACTCATTCCACATAGGTTACTTGCATTCAAATGTTTAGGGCATTTTGCTCCATTAAATGTTGTCATTGTTTGCTTTCTCAATTGTTCAGTAGTAGTATAGCTTATTACTAACTAAAACCATAGAAGAGGATGTATATTTTACTGTTGTGGTTGTTAGGTGCTGTTGAGTTGATTCTGACTCATAGCGAATCTATGTATGGCAGAAAGCAACTCTGCTTGATCATGTGCCATCCTCATAATTGTTCTTATGTGTGAGCCCATTGTTGCAACCATGGTGTTAATCCATCTTGTTGAAGGAGTTCCTCTTTTTCTCCATCCCTCTACTTACCAAGCATGATGGCCTTTTCCAGGGACTGCTCTCTCCTGATAATATATCCACTTAGTGCCAGTAAACACCTAGGCTATTTTAGCAAATATTTATTGTTTATAGAATATACTTATAGTAAGGAGCCTTGATTGCACAGTGGGTGAGCACTTGCCGACTAACTGAAATGGTGGGAGAAAGATATGGCAGCTGCTTCTATAAAGATTGACGTCCTTGAAAACCTTTTGGTCAGTTCTGCTGTGTCTTCTGTCACTGTGAATCAGAATCAACTTGATGACAATGTGTTTTTCAAATAAGTGAGGCATTATTGCAGGGGATTAAAAATAAAGAAAATCTATTACATTTCCTCTGAACACACCTACCCCTGCCTATAAAAAGAAAAAAAAATCTGGGCCTCAGAAATTAATTGGATAGTTTCCTTTGGAAGTACTTTCAAGATTTAGGACCTTTCTGTGCTGGAATCTGAGGGGAATGGATGGGAAAGTTGGGGGATGTGGAGAGAGAAGTTTGTTTCCCTTCCTTCATATTGTCCTACCTCTGCCCCCAAAGCTAACACCAAACCATCTCGTCTTTTATAGTATGTAGGTAAACTTAAAACTGAATCTTTTGCTGTTGAATTGTAACTCATTGCAACAGCGTAACGTGTTCCTAGGGTTTTCTTGGCTGTAATCTGCAGAAGCAGGTAAGTAGGCCACCAGACAATTCTTTTGTAGTAATGCTGGGTAGGTTCTAACCACCTACCTTTAAATTAGGAGTGAATCTAAACGGCACAACCCAGAGTGAGTGGAAAGATAATAATCATTATAAAACTTCTTTATAGAAAATTAGATAATCGTTGTTGTAGTCCCCATTACTATAGGAATTTGTTTGTTTTTCAAAGAGTTTCTTGATAGACAATATTTAATAACAGTGTTATTTATAGTTTCATTTGATCCTTGATTATCAATCCCATATCAAAGCATTTTTAGCCAACTGATAAATGTTTCTTCTTCGCATAAATGTCATTATCTTAATGGATAAACTGCCCAGTAAATTCTCATTAGGTTTCCTCCCTCCCATTCCTTCCTTATTTTGCTCTCAATAATTTAAAAGGAAACGAATAAAATTTACTGAGATATAATTCACCCACTTAAAGTTGGTTTTAAGTATTTTCTGTGTTGTTCAACTGTTAATGCAATCAATTTTAGAATATTTCCTCACCAAAAAGAAATTCTTTACCCATCAATAGTTACTCCCCCATTCTCCTCTCCCCTCAGTCCTAAGCAAACTCTAATCTCCAATCTATTTTCATTTTTATATATTTGCCTGTTTTGGGTATTTCATTTAAATGGACTCATACAATAAGTTGTTCTTTGTGACCAACTTCTTTCACTTAATGTATTTAATTTCAAGCTTTATTCAGTCCGTATTGTAGCATATATTAGTATTTAAATCTCTTTTATTTCAAACTTTTCATTGTGAATTAAGCAAAGGTTTACACATCAGATCATCTTTTTAAACTTACATAAATCATTATTGATAACTTAAACAGCTCATTAAACTCACCAATTGCCCTGTTCCCAGCACCAATATTTTCCTCATCTCCCTTTTGCAGTATATTCTCTTCTTGTACTACATTATCTTCCTCTTCACCCATGTTAACACCTATCTGCTCTCTAGAGTGTTGCTTTTTTCTGTCCTTTAACCATCAAAATCTACTTTTTTGGGTATGAAAAACTTAATTTTTAAAAAACACAGTAGTCTCATTCAATATTTATCCCTTTTTGTTTGACTAACATCATTAACATAATGTTCTCCAAATTCATTGTTGTCACAGTTTAATCACTCTGAAGTATCTGTCGTTTTTTAACTGTTATGTACCAAAGTTTACCCATTTTTCTACAGATGGGCATTTAGGTGGTTTCCATTCACTTGCTATTGTGAATAGTGCTTCTATGAGCATGGATTTATGTCTATCTATGCTATGTTCTTTATTTCTGTAGGATATTTACCAAGTAGCACTGTTTCTGGTTCAACTGGTATTTCTATTATGTTTGTTAAATGTTTTTGTCAGGAGTGTTGCTGGATTTTTTTCAGTTTACATTTTCTTGCCAACTGATATGATATAGTTCTTTTCATTGTTTTATTGATATGGTAGCTTATATTGATTGTTTTTCCAATGTTGAGCCACCTTACATACGTGCTTGAATCCTACTTTGTTGTAAAGCTTTTAAAATATATATTTTATTGGATTCTATCGGTTAGAATTTTATTGAGAAATTTTATGGTATGATCAAGGGCTTGATGTATAATTTTCTGTTCTGGAGATATCTCTCTTGGTTTTGATTATCAGTGTTATGCTTGCTTCATAAAATGAATTCAGAAGTTTATTTTCCTTTTCTGTAGTTGAGAATAGAACTGGTGTCAGCTCTTCTGTGAATGTTTGGCAGAATTCCCTGGTGAAGCCATTTGGCTCTGGACCTTTGTTGCGGTTGTGGGGAGTTTTGTAATAACTCAATCAATTTCTTCTCTTGTTATGAGTCTGTTCAGTTATTTTACATCAATGTGTGTTAGGTAGGTAGTGTGTTTTTAGAAATTGTCGATTTCTTCTCGGTTACCAAATTTAGGTACATTTGTTATCTTTCAGTTGGTTCTGTTTTGATTTCCCTTTTTTTCATTTCTTATTTGTGATATTAATAGCTTCTTTTTCCTTTGTTAGATGTGCCAGTGGTTTGTCAATTTTGTCAATCCTTTCAAAGAACCAACTTCTTATTGATTCTTTCAGCTGTTTTTCTGTTTCATTTCTTTCTGCCTTAATTTTTATTATTTCTTTTTCTTCTTAGGACTGAAGGTTTATTTTGCTGTGCTTGCTCTAGCTATTGGAGATATTGAGTTAATGTGTTGATTTTGTTTTTTCTTTTTCTTTGATGTGTAAATTTAATCCTGTAAATTGCTTTCTGAGTACTACTGTATCTGGGTCCCAATGTTTTTTGGTATGCTGTATTTTCATTATCATTTGTTTCAAGTAATTTTAAAATTTCATCCTTTATTTCTTTCAGTATACCGGGTAATTTCAAAGCAAGTCATTGTTCAGTTTCCGTGTTTTTGCCCTTTTCTATGACTGATTTTTCTATTTGGATTTCCAATTTTATAGTGTTGTGATCTGAATAAATGAGTTTAGAATGTCTCAATTATTTTGAATTTATTAAGGCCTGCTTTGAGGTACAGCATATTTTATATTCCTTAGAAAATTCCATGTGTACTGGAAAATAATGTATATTGTTTTGTTGGGTAGAGTGTTCTGTATATGTCTGTTAGGCTTGGTTTTCTTAAGAAACAAAATCAGTGACATTTATATAGGTATAAGAAAGAAATTTCTATCAAGAAAGCAGCTCACACAGCTGCAAAGCAGCAGGTCCAGCTGAGCTCAAGTTCTGTGGGTCAGATGCCGCTCCCAACTTAGACGGCTGCTGAACTGGGGAACCAGGGAGCTGGAAGACAAATGGAGAGGCAGAAGAAGGACATTGCAGGAATCGAGAAAATGATGGACACAGAGTCAAGTGGATCTAAGATGGGCAACATGGCAGGCCACCAACCTCAAGTGTCAAGAAACTAGACAAAACCCAGGCTAACAAGAAGAGGGGTGTGTTAGACAGGGTTCTCTAGAGAGATAAAACCAAATTGCTGATAATTTAATATATTTATTTATAAAGATAATTAGATATATAACAAGAAATGAACTGTTAAATCATATACAGATAGATACATAATACAAGAAATGAACAGTTAAATTATAAAGCACTACAAATGGCTTAGTGCAACTCACTCCCATGAGAGAGAGTTGTGAGAGACTAGCAGTCCTTCAAGTCTAGTCTGCTGCCAGATCTTCCTCTATTTGTAGAGAGAGCCAGGCTATGTCAGCACAGCAGCTAATCACAAGGCAGGTCACCAACTGTCAGCTAGGTCACCAACCACCAGTCCCCAGCTCCAGAGATGTCTTAAAGAGACCTCAACTTACAGCTACATAGTCCACAGGCTAGGCGTTCCATGGTAGTGTAGCCTTTAAATTGAGGCACAGAACAAGCAAGGCAGCCGCACACTGGTCGGATGATCAAAGAGCGAGAGACAAGAAAGGCGAGGCCCACCAAACCATTTCTCTCTCTGCCCTTCACTTAATCCCACTTGTGTTTATCGGCCAGGCTGGCACAATAAACTATCTCAAGGGGGAAGATAGTTCTCCACAGTGTTTGCTTATAGATATACAGTAGACAACACCCCCAAGTAGATATGATCAGGCTGTGATCTGCATCTTACGGGGGAGGAGGTCTTACTGCCAAACTGCTGAGGGACCTGGCCCAGCCAAGTTGACACAGTGGTTGCAACAATTGTTTCAAACTTAACATTTTTCAGTGTGGTGCAAGACTGGACAACATTTTGTTGTGTTGTACGTGGTTGCTATGAGTCAGAATTCATTGGATGGCACCTAATAACAAGGACAGTGATAGGAGAAGCTGTATAATGTTGAA